AATTTGGTATCCTGTTCATGAAGTTCGTTCGAATAAAGTTGAACGTATTCACAGGCGGCTTGTGAAATATTTGTGGCACAAGGAAGATGGTACGCATCCAGAAGTTGGCTTCAGGCGTGATGTATACTAAGTGACATATAAATCCGAACACCCAGTTTAAATGGTTTTATTTTAATAAAAGTTGGTGAATGTATTTATCTTACTGTAGATAACAAGTGAAAAAATTTCTAAAAATGAATATTTCAGCCGCAGTAAAGAATCAACGTTGGCGGATTTTGGTTCTTGACATCCTTTACTATCGGTTACGATGCCTAGAGCACGGAGACCTGTACGATTTCGTCAACTTAGTGAGTTTGATAGGGGCCGTATAGTGGGACTTCGGGAAGCTGGACTTTCTTTTCGAGCAATTGCAGTTAGAGTGCAAAGAAGTGTAGACACTGTGGTTAGGTGTTGTCATGCATGGTTTTGAGAAGGCCGTACGCAAACAGCAAGGGGCACTGGACGCCGCCGTAGAACAACAGACCGTGAAGATCGCCGCCTGAGATTATTGGCCTTAAGGGACCGTTTCTCCACTACCAGGTCCATTGCAAATGAATGGTTTGCAAAACACTGAAGACCTATTGGTATGCGAAGTGTTTACCGACGAAGGAGAAGTTTTGGCTTGTTTTCATACCGGCCACACTGGGTCCTCCCTTTAACTCGAGAACACCGACGTAATCGCCTTGAGTGGTGCAGACAACGGTCACTCTGGGATCAGAACAGTATTGTCTTTAGTGACGAGTCTCGATTTTGTTTAGGCATGCACGATGGTCGTGGCAGGGTTAGAAGGCGACGTGGTGAAAGGAGGAATCCACAGTTTTTTGTTGAAAAACATGTTCATCACACTGTTGGAGTTATGGTTTGGGGTGCTATAGCTTATGGTTCCAGGTCACCTTGAATCTTCATCAGAGGTAACATGAACGCGCAGCGTTGTATCGACGAAGTTCTAGAACCCCATCTTTTACCCTATCTTGACATCCTGGCAGATCCAACTTTCCAACAAGATAATGCCCGACCACATGTTGCAAGAGTCACAATAGACTTCTTTCAACATAATGATGTCACATTGTTACCATGGCCACCAAGATCTCCCGACTTATCCCCAATTGAGCACGTGTGGGATATGATGGGTAGGAGATTGCTCAATTTGCAACGTCCTCCTCAGACTCTAGAAGCACTTCGAGAGGAGTTGGTGGTTGCCTGGAATGAGATACCACAGGAGGACATTGACCACCTGACCAGAAGCATGCCTAGGCGCGTTGGAGAATGCGTAGCACATCAGGGTGCATCCACACATTATTAAAGGTCAAAGGGCTTTAAAGCAGTGCAATCATTTTGAAATTTTTATCATTTACTTATTATGCTTCATTAAGTACTTATACAAAATTTTATTAAAATAAAACCATTTAAACTGGGTGTTCGGATTTATATGTCACTTAGTATATATATTACTTAGCATACATAACCCCTGTAACTTGGAGAAGCGCAGAAATTACGCTGCTTGTGTATTTTTATATAAAATGCTATTGTGAATATTTACTAGGTAATATTCTTATTCATGTACCTAATGCTAGGACGCGATCCAATTCCAAATACTTTTATTTAAACGTTGCTAGAAGCAATGCGTTGCTTTCCTCTCCGATATATGTAGTATGTAACAACTATGAACGTGCAAGAAACTCTGTAGATTTGTTCTTTTGTAATTTGCGTAGCTTAAAAGGATTTTACGTAACAGTAGGTTAAATCGTTTGGCAATTTGAAGTTATTTTAGAAAATTTTTGTCTTAAAATTGATTCCTGCGTCCCTATCCGTTAAATGGTGTAATAAAGCGTTCGTATAGTGTATAAGTTATGGAATCCTGATGATTACCATTTCAACGGTACGGCTAACACCGTCCCGATGCCCTTGTGATTAGCGCCGTCCATCCGGTTTCTAGTTACAGCGTTAGGTGTTATCTTTGTGAGAACATTCCTGACTTTGCATTTTGCTATATTTTACTTCTTATAAACTGAATATGAAATGTAACTAGCGTTGTTGTCATCCCGTTTTCATCCAATAAAGTTCCTGCTATAGTTTCGAACCGAAACCACACTGAGTTTCATTTCTGGCGCTGCGAACAGGATCCCAGGCTTGGTTTCTGTCACCATTGTGAGAAATAACTAATAGACGAGCTGCCCAGCGGTGTCTCCGAGAAAGCCAAAGACTGAGTTCCTGAGAAAACTGAAGTTAGTACCAGCGAAAGCCAAGAGTTAGTATCAGACGTCGGGAAGGCCCTCCTGTTCTACTTGGACTCTCCGAGTGCCAATATCAAGTAAGAATTTCTATTCTCTTACTGGGAATTCTACCAGAAACTGTCCAGGACCATTGATTTGGTATCGAAGACAAGATGACCAGCCCCTGGATGAAGCAACAATTGATGTTACTGTCCTTGTAAGTAGTTAAGAATTACTATTAAGAAGATTTTGCAACTAAGAAGATTTAATACGTAACTATAAGATGAATTTATCAAAAAAACTCATTTCTACAGAGAAGATTTTTTTTTGAAGAATCCAAGTTTGCGTTTTTCAATTGAAATCTAATTTTGTGCATAGCTTCAAGTTTTTTTTTCACCTATTTTTACTCATTTTTATCTTTTATCTTTTATACATTTTATTTTATGCCTTTTGTTAATCGTTTTGTGCCTACCGAAAAAGAAAGATCTCCTATAAGAATGGCTACTTCAAATCAACAGAATGTCGTTAGCATGACAATCCTCAATTAATCTTTAACATGCTAAAAGATTCAATTCCTATATTTGATGGCTATTCAAACAATCTTTCTACATTTTTAAGAAAGTCTACAGAATTTTATAACGCTTTACCTATTTCCTATAAAGGACATGCTTTAACATTTATTAAGTCTAGATTACAAGGTGAACCTGCCGAATTTACAGAACAAACTAATCCTATTACTATTGATCATCTTTCTGCTATTTTAACCACTAGATTTAAAGATTACCAAACTGAAGAAAATTTGACTCGTCAACTTTTTGATATTCATTCCCAAACAAAATTGACCCGTTTCGACTTGTTATATGGTCACCGTGAACCCCTTCAACTGTTAAGCGCAACGAGAGCTCCAAACCTTCCAAAATCCCTGAATTAAAAGGCCCTATTTACATGGACCCCCCATGACGCTACTAGACGTCAAAAGAATTTACCCAAATATCAAAAACACGAAACCTACAAGCAAAATGGAACCCAAATTCAGATAAAAGTTCGGAAACATATGATTAAAAAGATTAAACCACCTCGCATTGTTTCAGATGTGTGACGATCACCATAGCTGTCCACATAGCCTCGCAACATTATTTGCAACCCATACAACAGATACGTTTAGGTAATGCAAGAAATATTCATCACTATCACAAAGTCTGTTTCTCCATTAACCTCACTGATATTTCACATACCATGCAAATGTTTTCTTACCTAATTGAATTGCATAATAAAATTCCCACCAGCTTAGATAATCAGTTTCAAAATTTATGCGAAGATACTTATTCCAAGTTCGAAACGATTTAGATCTTATTTTGAAAAATCAGAACGCTTTACGAAATAACCAGAATAGCTTGCTTGAAAGTCATCAGAAAACTATCACGTTTTGCAAATCTCTTCAAGAAACTTTTGAAAATAATACAAGAAGAATTCAGTCAATTATTATTCATAATTTCCAAACTATTGAACATCAGTCTTTGTTATCACACCAGACGATTCACCAGATCTCATTTATTACAAATTTGCAACGATTTAATTCATATCTAAATTCACTTTTATTAGTTCTACAATTGAACCAGCAAACAGGTCTCAACACCTTACAATTATCTCATCATCAGATTACCTTACTTATTGAACATTTAAAATCCATTTATAAAGACGAAAAATTATTGCCATTCGACAAAATACATTTATTTGAGATTTATGATCTTTCCCTTTTATCACTTATACTTTTAGAAAACCAACTTATTTTTGTAGTTGAGTTTCCCATTTTAAATGTTAGAACTTATTCCTTATTCAAGTTATTTTCAATCACAGTCAAAAAAGAATTAGTAAAATTACCAAGTGATTATATTTTATACTTTGAAAAGTATTATTATTGCAAAAATATTATAGAGTTAGTATGTTTGCACGAATACTTTCCAGTCGCCATGTCAACCACTTAAGTTAGACACTCGTGAGTCTGAAAGTCTAGTAAACTACACGCGAATCCTAGAATTAAGTAAGAACAATTATGTAATCGACACTAATGTTTTAACAAAAATCAAGGATTGTAAAGGAATCCATCATATTCATTTTACTACTCACATAATTTTAGAAAGTCATACATTTATTAATGATCAAATATTAGAATTTGACTCTAATTATGAAATTGAATTAGAATTATCCTTCAGAGGTGAGAACGATAGATATTTATTTAAGAAAACAAACACTTCACTCGAATCTTATTTCGAAAAAAATCTCACTTCACTTCAAGTTCATTTTGAAGATTTACAGTTTCATTCTACTATAAGTTATCCTGTTATTTTTACTACTGTAATTATTTTATTGGTTTTATTTATAACAATTTTTGTTAGATACCGTTATGTAAAGGATACTAAAACTCCACCTCAAAGTAGTGATATTTAAGAAACTTCTCCTTCAAATTAAAAGTTCAAATCATTTTTTTGTGATTAGCGCCGTCCATCCGGTTTCTAGTTACAGCGTTAGGTGAGAACATTCCTGACTTTGCATTTTGCTATATTTTACTTCTTATAAACTGAATATGAAATGTAACTAGCGTTGTTGTCATCCCGTTTTCATCCAATAAAGTTCCTGCTATAGTTTCGAACCGAAACCACTCTGAGTTTCATTTCTTATATACTAGTAAATAAATAAATAAATATTGTTGCATTAATGCTGACTAAATTTACAATAAACAAACGTTACCTGAACTGGCTTCAATATTGTCGGAAAAACTCATGTTCAAGCCGTTGGTGTAAGTATCAATACAGTTGGGTCCGTTGATAAAACTTTGTCCGTCTGGACAGCATTTCTTGACGCATCTGATTTGTGTGCATATTTCAGAGTCGTTTCTGCAGGCTCTTTTCACCAGTTTCCCATTTTCATCTTTGTCGATACATACATCCTTATTTTCTTCCAAATCGTCCACCTTATCGACTGGTATGTCGACGATGAGCTTGCAATGTGGCAATCCGACTCTGAAGAGCCTTCTATTGACAAAATTCAAGATGTTCGACGTGTTTTTCACACAAGAATGCGATTCGCTGTTATAGTGGTATTGCAAGGGGCAACACTTTGGGAAAATTTCGTAACCTGTTGATTGATTTTCAATTACTCGGCCTTCCTTGACGTACAATCGGACGAAAGTACTCGTATCCACTGCATCTATGCAATTGCCGTCAGTATTCCTACAATAAAACAAATCATGTCAATCGGATTTCTCATGAATCAGTTTAGCGTAGCTTTGAAAATATCCTGGACCAATACGTATTTATTTTCCTTTTTAATTATAATTTTTATAAAGTTCTCAACAATGCGTTGTTTGAAGTATTTTTATGATCATTTTAATATTTCTGTGCTGTTGCCTTTTCCTATGCATCATAGGAGTCTCTTGGAAGGAACTTATTTGGATTGGAATGAGGCTGAAAATGTATGTAAGGTTCTAGTTCTTACCTAAGATCAATTCGTAAGCAGTCTAAGATTAGGTATACGCAATTTACGAAAAGTTTTATCCTAAAATAAACAGTCAATCGTGTTTCTCATGAATTAGATTGTAAGCAGTGGTCGCTGTTATAATATGCTGGACGTGTAATGTATTTGTTCCTTGTTAATGTATTTTTATAACGTTCTCAGTAATGCGTTGTTTGAAGTTTTTTTATAATTCATCTGATATTCGTGTGTTGTAGACTTTTACTATGCTTCAGTGAAGTATCTTAGAAATAACGTATTTGGATTGAAACGAGGCTGAAAATGTATTCCTCAAGGTTCTAGTTCTTACCTAAAATCAATTTGTGACAAACATACAGGGTGTAAACGTTATGGAAGTCATTATTGCAATGGGTAATAGGGGGATCAAAACAAGTCAAAAAGTTAATAATAATAATAGACGTCTTTATTTATCCACAATTACATTGTAGTATAGCCAAATGTCAGACTTACATGGCGAAGTTTAGCATGCTGCTACTCTTACACTTAACCATATAGTCTCTAGCAGATGTTCAAACGAATACACTATCCACAAACAGATTTGGTTCATCACATCGAAAGTAAAATTTAAAAAAGAGAAAAAGGCATACTTTCCAAACCCAAATGCACCAAAAAATTATTAATCTGAATTAAAGATGAAATAAAAAAGAAATGAATGATTACGTAAATTATATGTTTGGAGGGTTGAGTAATAACGTTTTAACTTTTTGTCGAAAGGCGGGTAATGAAAATTCTTTATATACTTTAGGAAGGTCATTATAAATAATAGCAACATTGTAAGAAAAACTGCGTTTAAAAAGTGTAGACGTATGCAGGGGTATTCTAATATTATTTTCTCTGAGAGTTCTACAGTGAACATCATTATTAAATGAAATTTCTTCCTTCAACTAATAAGGTTTAGACGTGAGCAGCAACTTGTGAACAAAAACTGAATAGTGATACTTGACCATGTCATTAATTTTTAACCAGTTTAGAACGGGATGTTTCGCTGATACATGATCGAATTTACGTAAGCCAAAAATGAATCGTATACAATTGTTTTGAATAACTTGAATAACGTTTTTAGTGAAATTGTCTAAATAAGTATAGTATACGATATTACAATAATTTAGTATAGATATGACCAATGCTTCACATAGTTTTTTACGCAACTTAAAATTTAGTAAATACCTGTTTGCGCAGCCGTAGGTAGGTTTTCTGAGATAGACTTTTAACATGTTCAGTAAACCTTAATTTTGTATCAGAAACAACACCAAGAATTTTACAAAATTAGAAAATTGCAAGATTTGGTTATTTATCTGAATGTCCAAGAGCTGTGTTACATTGTATGTTTTTCTTTGCGCGCAAAATAATAACATTTTAGATTTTTGTGGATTAATAAGTAGATTGTGATCTAAAGAGTATTTAATTAATTTATTAACATCGTTTTGTAAAATTTGAGTAGTATTATTGACATTATCTGGGTTAAAATAATGAAGCAATTGCGTATCGTTTGCAAATGACTGGACATGAGAATTATCAATACTTTTGCTTAAGTCGAACGTATATATGAGGAACTGAAGCGGCCCCAATACAGAGCCCTGAGGTACGCCTGAGGGAATTATTGTCACTTGAGACATTTCTTGATTGAGAAAAACACACTGAGTTCTTTGATGAAGGTAACTGTCGAAAAATGAAAGGGATACACTGTCAAGACCTATGTAATTTAATTTAGCAAGTAATAATTTATGATTGATGCTGTCAAAGGCTTTCGAATAGTCTATAGAAATTAAGGCTAGTGCCATTTTCTTATCTAAGGCACTTAAAATATTGTCTTGCAGATTAAGTAGGGCAGATGTTGTATTATAATTTTTTCTAAATCCGGATTGAGTGTCGTGAAGTATAAAGAATTTTTCTAGGTAAGCGGTCAATTGGAACTTTATAATTTTTTCTAAAATTTCGGATAAAATTGGTAATAAACTGATAGGTCTGAGATCATTATACACAGTGGGTTTTATTTTTTTAGGAATTGGAATAATTAGAGCTTGTTTCCATCTGTTTGGAAAGTAGCCTTTTCCAAACAGTCGTTAAAGATGTGGACGATGTGATGGAGAATAACTGGCAGGCTAAGCTGGATTATTGACAGGGATATACCATCAATTCCCTTCGCATCAGACTTTAGGCTCCCTATTTTTATTTATTTAATGAAAAAATATATTCAGAGCTTAATTTATTTTTGAAATGGTTTTCACAAACTAGTGAATCAACAGGTTTGTAGCTATAAACAGACATAAAATAATCATTAATTTTGGTAGGGTCATTAAAACTTGCCGGAAGGGTTGGTTTACTACGAAAATTTATATCAAGTTGTTTGAGAGACTTCCACAATTTTTTTGAATCATTTTCATTTGGCAAATTTTCGATAAATGTCTTTTTATCCCTCCTGATCATGTTAAGAGCACGGCTTCTAAGTTCATACTAATTTTTATAATCCAATCAAAACGTTTTTAAATTGGGTAATTAACAAATAAATGGCATTAAGTTTTTCTAAGTTAAGCCAAAAATTGTAGTCAGTAAGTAACTTTCTTTAAATTAAATATTTAAAACACACATGACAACAGCGCGTCGTCATCGCTCTTATCGAACCGGCAATCGATCGCAAACGGTAACAGTGGTTAGTTATCGGGCATCGAGCGTGTGTTGTTTTTGTTCGCGTACGTCGTTGATAGTTTACGGTGAAGCTCGTCATTATTCAAATCTTGCAGCTCAAATTTATCGCGAGAGATTTCGCCAACGGGTACACCCAGACATTTGTGCAAGTGTACCAAAGACTTCGAAATACAGGAAGTGTTCAGCCCACTAATATTCGCACTCGTGGAAAGACAGGTTACTGTAGAGCAGGAGGAACAAATTTTAAATATCGTGGAAATCAATGCAGATATCAGTATTTGAGTGAACATTATCCAAATCGCTGGATGGGTCGAAATGCTCCAGATCCTCGATACGATGGATTTCTGGTATTGGGGAGAACTTAGAGGGATGGTTTATGGGGCTGGTCCAATAACAAGCACAACTTCGCGAAAAAAAATTTAATGCAGTAATTAAGTAATAAATGGACATCTTCGAGGACCTAGAGTAAGAAGAAACTGGTTTCGTCGTAATGAAGCTTGTGTGGAAAGTAGAGGACGACATTTTGAACATCTTCTTTAAATACAAAAAAGTGCAATGTGGGTTTTAAAAAGAAAAACAATGTATGTATCAAAATTTTATAAGTCGATTTTTTTTAATACGTTCAATAAACTTTCACAAAGCAGGTGAAGCGCTGAGACAGCTGGTGGGGTAACTCCGTTTTTTTAATTGTTTGCATTTTACGAGTACATTATCAAATAATGAAATAATACCTGAGAGTCAGGCATTGCGGTGTTGTCAGATTTTATTTTACTTTAAAGTCGCTTTCCTCTAAAAACATGCCGTTTTGACCCCCATGTTAAACGAAACTTTTTGCTTATTTCAACCCCCTCTATCACCGATTTAAATAATGACTATCATAACGTTTACACCCTGTATTTTAAGAAAAGTTTTATACAAGTTTCAGATAAGTGCTACCTTACACATAACTAATGAGCGACTTCGCAAAAACGCAATTTTATTGATTAATAATTTAATGATACCATTGCAGAATAAAAGCTCGCCACTTCTCAAAATAAGGCTTGCCGTAACATTATCAACCAAACATTTATGTGAGAAATAATCAACTAAAAACAAGGATATGCTTAAACATCACAAAATGATCACCGTCTTGTAATTCCCGATTTGCTTTTACCTAGCGCTATCATTTATCAACAAAGGGTCCAGGAAAAAGTAAGAAAGTATGTACCTTCATTTATGTTAATGTGCAGTTATTGTGGTTGAGGTTATTTATTATTATCTCGCAGAAAAAAAAACAATACGTGATATAAATAAATGAAAAAATTAACGTCAGGCACCCTAATTACATTATGTAACTAAATCTATAGTGGGGTTTCAGCTATGCCGAACATTTTGAGTCCTGACCTGTATTTTAGGTTTTTATATATTTTCATCACTATTTTGAATTGTCCTGGAAAGTCAAATTCAGTGCGTTTGCATATTGAATGCCGTTTCTCTCTAAAGCAGAACGCATGTTGTTGTATAACATCAGTTGGTAGAATTAAATCTTTAAAAAAATACCGAAAACAGTAAATAACACTAATTCCACCTTTTATTTATATCAGGTATCGGTCTCTTTTTCTGGAAAATAATAATAAATCCAAAAATATACTAAGTGACATATAAATCCGAACACCCAGTTTAAATGGTTTTATTTTAATAAAATTTTGTAAAAGTACTTAATGAAGCATAATAAGTAAATGATAAAAATTTCAAAATGATTGCACTGCTTTAAAGCCCTTTGACCTTTAATAATGTGTGGATGCACCCTGATGTGCTACGCATTCTCCAACGCGCCTAGGCATGCTTCTGATCAGGTGTTCAATGTCCTCCTGTGGTATCTCATTCCAGGCAACCACCAACTCCTCTCGAAGTGCTTCTAGAGTCTGAGGAGGACGTTGCAAATTGAGCAATCTCCTACCCATCATATCCCACGCGTGCTCAATTGGGGATAAGTCGGGAGATCTTGGTGGCCATGGTAACAATGTGACATCATTATGTTGAAAGAAGCCTATTGTGACTCTTGCAACATGTGGTCGGGCATTATCTTGTTGGAAAGTTTGATCTGCCAGGGTGTCAAGATAGGGTAAAAGATGGGGTTCTAGAACTTCGTGGATATAACGCTGCGCGTTCATGTTACCTCTGATGAAGATTAATGGTGACCTGGAACCATAAGCTATAGCACCCCAAGCCATAACTCCAACAGTGTGATGAACATGTCTTTCAACAAAAAACTGTGGATTCCTCCTTTCACCACGTCGCCTTCTAACCCTGGCACGACCATCGTGCATGCCTAAAGACAATACTGTTCCATTCCTGATCCCAGAGTGACCGTTGTCTGCACCACTCAAAGCGATTACGTCGGTGTTCTCGAGAAAAACTTCTCATTCGTCGGTAAACACTTCGCATGCCAATAGGTCTTCCGTGTTCTGCAAACCATTCATTTGCAATGGACCTGGTAGTGGAGAAACGGTCCCTTAAGGCCAATATTCTTAGGCGGCGATCTTCACGGTCTGTTGTTCTACGGCGGCGTCCAGTGCCCCTTGCTCTTTGCGTACGGCCTTCTCGAAGCCATGCCTGACAACACCTAACCACAGTGTCTACACTTCTTCGCACTCTAACTGCAATTGCCCTAAAAGAAAGTCCAGCTTCCCGAAGTCCCACTATACGGCCCCAATCAAACTCACTAAGTTGATGAAATCGTACAGGTCTCCGTACTCTAGGCATCGTAACCGATCGTAAAGGATGTCAAGAACCAAAATCCGCCAACGTTGATTCTTTACTGCGGCTGAAATATTCATTTTTAGAGCGTTAGTGCATTAAAAAAAAGCAGTATAACAAACCGGAATGTCCAACTGATAAGGCTGAAAATTTTTTCACTTGTTATTTACAGTAAGATAAATATATTCACCAACTTTTATTAAAATAAAACCATTTAAACTGGGTGTTCGGATTTATATGTCACTTAGTATATAAATGACAAGCCGTTGAATGAATCCGATCCTGTAATTTTGAGTTCTCAAAACTTTCTTAGTTCAACGTTAAGCATTATTTTGTTAATCGTTGATGAAACCAAGTTAATAACCTTGGAAATTTGACTTTTGCCTCGCAAAAACTGCTAAAGAGAGATTTGAATGAGTAAAATGTGTTTAACTAAAAGACTATTAGATGCGCAGTAAATTTATTTTACTTATTAATTACTATCCCCATTCGTTGGGTCTTTTGGACATAGTCAAACTTTCCAATATTCAGCTTAAAAGTTGATTTTTCATAGAAAAGATGAAAAAAAAAAACGAGTCTGGCCCTGGATTTCTCAACCGTTTTCCTGGTTTTATGTTACTCCGAGATGGCTATATTATTAGTTTGAACAAAATCGGTTCAATAGTACTTGAGATATGCGATATTAAAAATTTCGTAGGTAAATGAACCAATATATTCGTACACTATAAATTTAGAATTTTTTTATTTAAGAAAAGTTCTTGATCCACAGTACCCACCATCCACTATGTCCCTTTAACTATGGGCCGCCCTGCTGAATGCAAAAGTAACAACTATATCCCAAAATTGAAACTTATACAGAAAAACTGATAAATATTTTTTTGAAATGACGAACTTCCGACAAACCGAATTAACACACAAAACAATGATAAGAAGGCAATAATTATAAGATTTCTTGATGTCTTCTCAGGGAGGTTCAAATATTAATTTTCCGCTAGAAATGCATTGCAAGCTTTTCCTGACAACGAAATACTAAGCTCTGTACGCACCTTCGCAAAAATCCATCAGTTTCCGCCAAAACGGCGAGCCTGCGAGTTGCATCTCTCACACAATTATACCCAGAGCCGTTCAGTGTGAGTTGCTCGTTGAAATCACAGCACTTGTTTTCATAAACGGAAGCATTGTAATGCTGAGTTGCGACGCGAACGGCTTTTATCAACAAACAAATGATTAAAAATGGATACATGCTGGAACTGTGCTGTGTGGCCGCAAGTTTCGATATAACTGATGCGGCCTACCAAACTATATCTTTACGATCAAGGCGTGCGAAAAGTAAATTGGCTACAGGGTGAGTCGAGTTTGTAGATATATACTAAATGACATATAAATCCGAACACCCAGTTTAAATAGTTTTATTTTAATAAAATTTTGCATAAGTACTTAATGAAGCATAATAAGTAAATGATAAAAATTTCAAAATGATTGCACTGCTTTAAAGCCCTTTGACCTTTAGTAATGTGTGGATGCACCCTGATGTGCTACGCATTCTCCAACGCGCCTAGGCATGCTTCTGATCAGGTGGTCAATGTCCTCCTGTGGTATCTCATTCCAGGCAACCACCAACTCCTCTCGAAGAGCTTCTAGAGTCTGAGGAGGACGTTGCAAATTGAGCAATCTCCTACCCATCAAATCCCACATGTGCTCAATTGGGGATAAGTCGGGAGATCTTGGTGGCCATGGTAACAATGTGACATCATCATATTGAAAGAACTCTATTGTGACTCTTGCAACATGTGGTCGGGCATTATCTTGTTGGAAAGTTGGATCTGCCAGGGTGTCAAGATAGGGCAAAAGATGGGGTTCTAAAACTTCGTGGATATAACGCTGCGCGTTCATGTTACCTCTGATGAAGATTAAAGGTGACCTGGAACCATAAGCTATAGCACCCCAAACCATAACTCCAACAGTGTGATGAACATGTCTTTCAACAAAAAACTGTGGATTCCTCCTTTCACCACGTCGCCTTCTAGCCCTGGCACGACCATCGTGCATGCCTAAACAAAATCGAGACTCGTCACTAAAGACCATACTGTTCCATTCCTGATCCCAGAGTGACCGTTGTCTGCACCACTCAAGGCGATTACGTCGGTGTTCTCGAGTTAAAGGGAGGACCCAGTGCGGCCGGTATGAAAACAAGCCAAAACTTCTCATTCGTCGGTAAACACTTCGCATGCCAATAGGTCTTCCGTGTTCTGCAAACCATTCATTTGCAATGGACCTGGTAGTGGAAAAACGGTCCCTTAAGGCCAATAATCTTAGGCGGCGATCTTCACGGTCTGTTGTTCTACGGCGGCGTCCAGTGCCCCTTGCTCTTTACGTACGGCCTTCTCCAAGCCATGCCTGACAACACCTAACCACAGTGTCTAAACTTCTTTGCACTCTAACTGCAATTGCCCGAAAAGAAAGTCCAGCTTCCCGAAGTCCCACTATACGGCCCCTATCAAACTCACTAAGTTGACGAAATCGTACAGGTCTCCGTACTCTAGGCATCGTAACCGATCGTAAAGGATGTCAAGAACCAAAATCCGCCAACGTTGATTCTTTACTGCGGCTGAAATATTCATTTTTAGAGCGTAAGTGAATTAAAAAAAAAGCAGGATAAAAACCGGAATGTCCAACTGATAAGGCTGAAAATTTTTTCACTTGTTATTTACAGTAAGATAAATACATTCACCAACTTTTATTAAAATAAAACCATTTAAACTGGGTGTTCGGATTTATATGTCACTTAGTATATAAATGACAAGCCGTTGAATGAATCCGATCCTGTAATTTTGAGTTCTAAAAACTTTCTTAGTTCAACCTTAAGCATTATTTTGTTAATCGTTGATGAAACCAAGTTAATAACCTTGAAAATTTGACTTTTGCCTCGCAAAAACTGCTAAAGAGAGATTTGAATGAATAAAATATGTTTCACTAAAAGACTACTAGATGTGCAGTAAATTTATTTTACTTATTAATTATCCCCATTCATTGGCTCTTTTGGACATAGTCAAACTTTATAATATTCAGCTTAAAAGTTGATTTTTCATAAAAAAGATGAAAAAAACGAGTCTGGCCCTGGATTTCTAAACCGTTTTCCTGGTTTTGTGTTACTCCGAGATGGCTATATCATTAGTTTCAACAAAATCGGTTCAATAGTATCTAAATTTAGAACTTTTTATTTAAGAAAAGTTCTTGATCCACAGCATCCACCATCCACTATGTCCCTTTAACTATGGACCGCCCTGCAGAATGCAAAAGTAACAGCTGTATCTCAAAATTGAAACTCATACAGAAAAACTGATAAATATTTTTTTGGAATCACACAGAACTTCTGACAAACCGAATTAACACACAAAACAAAGATAAGAAGGCAATAATTATAAAGTTTCTTGATGTCTTCTTAGGGAGGTTCAAATATTAATTTTCCGCTAGAAATGCATTGCAAGCTTTTTCTGACAACGAAATACTAAGCTCTGTACGCACCTTCGCAAAAATCCATCAGTTTCCGCCAAAACGGCGAGCCTGCGAGTTGCATCTCTCACACACACATACCCAGAACCTTTCAGTGTGAGTTGCTCGTTGAAATCACAGCACTTGTTTTCATAAACGGAAGCATTGTAATCCTGAGTTGCGACGCGAACGGCTTTTATCAACAAACAAATGATTAAAAATGGATACATGCTGGAACTGTGCTGTGTGGCCGCAAGTTTCGATATAACTGATGCGGCCTACCAAACTATATCTTTACGATCAAGGCGTGCGAAAAGTAAATTGGCTACAGGGTGAGTCGAGTTTGTAGATATATACTAAATGACATATAAATCCGAACACCCAGTTTAAATAGTTTTATTTTAATAAAATTTTGTATAAGTACTTAATGAAGCATAATAAGTAAATGATAAAAATTTCAAAATGATTGCACTGCTTTAAAGCCCTTTGACCTTTAGTAATGTGTGGATGCACCCTGATGTGCTACGCACTCTCCAACGCGCCTAGGCATGCTTCTGATCAGGTGGTCAATGTCCTCCTGTGGTATCTCATTCCAGGCAACCACCAACTCCTCTCGAAGAGCTTCTAGAGTCTGAGGAGGACGTTGCAAATTGAGCAATCTCCTACCCATCAAATCCCACATGTGCTCAATTGGGGATAAGTCGGGAGATCTTGGTGGCCATGGTAACAATGTGACATCATTATGTTGAAAGAAGTCTATTGTGACTCTTGCAACATGTGGTCGGGCATTATCTTGTTGGAAAGTTGGATCTGCCAGGGTGTCAAGATAGGGTAAAAGATGGGATTGAAGAACTTCGTGGATATAACGCTGCGCGTTCATGTTACCTCTGATGAAGATTAAAGGTGACCTGGAACCATAAGCTATAGCACCCCAAACCATAACTCCAACAGTGTGATGAACATGTCTTTCAACAAAAAACTGTGGATTCCTCCTTTCACCACGTCGCCTTCTAGCCCTGGCACGACCATCGTGCATGCCTAAACAAAATCGAGACTCGTCACTAAAGACCATACTGTTCCATTCCTGATCCCAGAGTGACCGTTGTCTGCACCACTCAAGGCGATTACGTCGGTGTTCTCGAGTTAAAGGGAGGACCCAGTGCGGCCGGTATGAAAACAAGCCAAAACTTCTCATTCGTCGGTAAACACTTCGCATGCCAATAGGTCTTCCGTGTTCTGCAAACCATTCATTTGCAATGGACCTGGTAGTGGAAAAACGGTCCCTTAAGGCCAATAATCTTAGGCGGCGATCTTCACGGTCTGTTGTTCTACGGCGGCGTCCAGTGCCCCTTGCTCTTTGCGTACGGCCTTCTCGAAGCCATGCCTGACAACACCTAACCACAGTGTCTACACTTCTTTGCACTCTAACTGCAATTGCCCGAAAAGAAAGTCCAGCTTCCCGAAGTCCCACTATACGGCCCCTATCAAACTCACTAAGTTGACGAAATCGTACAGATCTCCGTACTCTAGGCATCGTAACCGATCGTAAAGGATGTCAAGAACCAAAATCCGCCAACGTTGATTCTTTACTGCCGCTGAAATATTCATTTTTAGAGCGTTAGTGAATTAAAAAAAAGCAGTATAAAAACCGGAATGTCCAACTGATAAGGCTGAAAAATTTGTCACTTCTTATTTACAGTAAGATAAATGCATTCACCAACTTTTATTAAAATAAAACCATTTGAACTGGGTGTTCGGATTTATATGTCACTTAGTATACTTTGAGGAAAATAATGACTCTAACGTACATTTTTTTAAACCATAGCAGCCGCGCAGGCTTAAATGCCAGAGCACCGCATCTGATATGAGGATCCCGAAAAAACTCTGTTAATCCGATTTTAGAACTGCGTAAGATTAATAGAACAGGGAAAAGTCTCATCTTGCAGATTGTTCCACATTCTGGACACCTTAGGGACAAACGAGCGGTCGTATCGGTCAGTTATGGATGTGAAAAGTCAAGCTCCTGCTACTTGGTGCTTATTATTGCTTTATCTTCAGTTAGATCCCCGAAATCTCTTCAAATTGATGCCTTTCGTGATGACCTTGACTAACACATTCAGGGTCAAAATAATGTCTCCCCAAGAGCATATCTCAATGCGAAATTTTTGGTTACATCAGCTTCTTACATTAAAAGTATAGGGACACATTTCAGAAAATAATCTTGACCTTGATTTAACCTCCAAGGTAATGCTCAGATGCATGCAAGTCGCTGCTAGTCTTCTTTTTTCCATCTCTGAATTCCTGCATGCGGGGTGCTGTTATCAGCAAAGCTGTGGATTGGGTTGGTCGTACTGGGAAGGAGGTCGTTAATATGTAAGAGGAAAAGTGTCGGAGCCAAGACCGATCCCTGGGAATACCCGCGTTGATGATGTGGGATGGATTCAATTGCGACGCATGTCTTGAGGCCAGAAAGAAAATCACCTATCTGCAAACCTTTTTTGCCAGCCTGCAGGATGGACGCTTAAGAAACGACATGAGCCTTTCCATAAGACTGGATGAGTTTAATCCACAATGACGTGACGTAAGCTAGGAGGAGCCCTGTGGATCGCTGGTGTCGAAAACGATGCTACCTGTCGCTAACCAAAGCTCGCGATTTATGCATCTCAAAATTCATGTTCCTTTCTATAGATAGTGTGGCTTCAAAACCGATGGATGTTAGGAAGATAAATACTAGTCTGTTTTTGGACCTTCCCATTTTTAACCGTTAAACCC